TGACGCTATGAGACGCTCTGGGAGGCGCGCGCCCGTCCAGAACGCCTGCTGCCAACGTCTGTTGACGCGTTCTTATCCAGGCGGCATGGCCAGACCTCGCCCGCCACGGCCGCGCGTCGGAACGCCCGGCGCGGCGGCATGCAAACTTTTGGTGGGACGTCCGCGCAGATCGCTTGGACCCCCAGGCATCCCGCTGCTCCAATTTTTCCGATGCGTGGGCCCCAGAGGTCCGGACCACTTCCCCAGGGCCGGCTTCTCGTCCTGGGCCGTCCTTTGACGCTCCCGAGGCCCGGCGAGGGCCCCCCGAGGCCGGAAACGGCCGAAAACCGCCCGCTCCGATGTTTTTTCTTTGGAGCGTCGGATCTTTTCCCAGACATGCGACGTCCTGACTTTTTCAGGACGGCGTCCCCGCAAGCCCCGACCCTTTCCCCGGGACCGGTTCTTCGTCCTGAATCGTTTGTTGACGGTCCCGAAGCCCGGCGAGGGCCCCCCAGGGCCGAAAATAGCCAAAAACCGCCCGTCCGGATTTTTTTTACGACGCGATCACGTCTGGGTTGGATCCCCCCTGGGTGCCCAGGGCTCCTCTGCGGCGCCGCCCGCGGCGCCTCCGTGCGCCTCGGCGGCCACCGCCGCGCCCTCCCTGGAGGCCTCCTGCGCGGAGGGGAGCCGGATCGAGGCCTCGTCGCCGAGGCCCCCCTCCTCGGGGTGACGGGCGAGGAGCGGCATAGCTTAAACTTCGAAGTCGAGCATGTCCTCCTACAGGCCCATTTAAGGAAGAAGTGAGAAGTCCGAAAATAAGGGAAGCTATAGCACAACAAGCACGGAAAACCAATCTGAAAATCGGGAAAACTAGAACAACAAGCGCGGAACAAAAATCGGAAAAACAAGCGCGGAACACCAGGCTATTGTGTTAACCATTCTTTGCATATGCCTTCTGTAGACGGAGACGCCCGACTTGAACTTCACCCCGTCCGCCATCGGGGACGCCTACCATCGGCCTCCACCTTCCACATCCTCTGGACGGTGGCTGCCGCGCAGCGGCCGCCGCCAGCGCGGCCGCAGTGGCGGCCGCCGTCGAGGCCGCAGCGGCGGTTCCGGCGGTTCGCGGCGGCCGCGCCGCGGCGACACGACCGGCGCGGAAGGCTCGGAAGGTGGAGGTGTCGAGGGCTGCCTCCCCTGAGCTCGGGGCGTTGCCATGTTGCTGTCGCACCGGGCGTTTTCGCCAGGTTTCGGGCCGGCCCCGGGGCCATCCCAGATCGATCCGGCTGGAAACATGCAGCAGCACGATGGGGTCGAGGGCTGCGGTCGTGATTTCTCGCGGAGTGATAATCTGTTTTGCAACGTCGGAAATTAGGGTCAGCGCGGCTGGGGAATTGATATCCCGGATATCAGCGTCAATCCGCACGGTGGCAGGCGGGAGCATCAACTTCCCAGACGCTCTGGGACATGCATCCTCCATCTCGGAAGAATACACTCTCTTACGCCGCGCTTCGCCCGCTAAACTACAGGAGCAACAACGGCATAAACATAAACTTTTTGGTGGTTTCCGGGCGGATTTCTTGGATCTGAGCTGGAGCCCCCTCCCTGGCGCGCGGAGCGCGCGAGGGGCGGCGCCAGAGGCAACGCCGGGGGGGGGCCCAGCGCGGATCCAAGAAATCCGCGCGGAGCGCCAAAAGATCACGCTTGTGGCGCTTTTTCTTCTTCGACACAAGCTTCCGCCCGTCCGAGCGGCTCTCTCGGGTCAGCGCCGGGCGTCCATCTACCCCTGCGGCGCCAATGGCGCCGCCCATGACGCGCCAGAAGCGCGCCACCGGCTGGATCCCATTCCCTGGCGCGCGGAGCGTGCCCACGGCGGCGCCTGAGGCGCCGCGAGGGGTCGTGGCCCAGTGCCGCTCCGTCACAGCCGCGCGGAGAGCCGAAGGTCTTAATACGATGAGGGCATCGGATAGGAAACCATCGCATACGGAGCCCAGGGTCTTAGAAGAAGACAAGAAGCCATAAACATAATTAAACTGTTCGGTGCTCCGCGCAAATTTCTTTGATCTGTGCTGGCCCCGCGCCAGGGGGCGGCGTCGGAGGCGCCGCCAAGGGCCCAGGCACGGACCCAAGAAACCCGCGCAGAGCGCCAAACATTAATGTTTATACGCTGTTCTTGTCCGAAGTCTGCAAGCCGGCAGCACATCCACTGAGGCGCGGCCAAGGGCCGGCCTCGGCCGGCCATGGGCAGTGTTCTCAGCCTTCCCCGAAGACCAAACAAAAACAAGTTTGCCGATCAGACGGCGCGAAGCTTTCTCACTGAGAAGGCCTCCTCCTTCTGAGAAGGCCTCCTCTTTTTCGCCCGTCCTCTGAAAGGGCCTCCTCCTTCTCACTTCCCGATCGCGCTCGCCGCCGAACCACGACCCTCCGCGAACGCCCCCACCGTGTGCTGATGCCGACGTGTTTCTCCTCGTCGGCTCCTGGACGTCGACCTCCCCGGCCTGGCGCGCCTCCTCGCGGCCGCGCTCCCCGCCCGCCGCCCCCTGGGCGCCGGCCGCGGCCTGGCGCTTCTCCATCTCGGCCGCGTCGACCTTCGCCTGTGAAGGCGCCCAGGGACCCGCAAAGAAGTGGACGCAAATCCCAGGATTCCCAATACCTCATATGTTTTATAGGTTTTCGTCCCCCCCCCCGCTCCCCACATGTTCCCAGATCGTCTGGGGCGTCGGCGAGGAATTGTAGCCGTGCATGTTCCCCCCCCCCCCGAGCCTGGAGCTCCCGCACCCGGCCCTGCAGCTTCGCGAAGAGGTCCATCTCGACGTCAGTCCAGGTGGCCTCCTCGGTCTTTTCCTCCTCCTCCGCCGACGCCTGCGCGACGGTCAGAAGCGGGCCCTGCGCGAGACGGCGCAGCGGCCCTGCGCCGCAGCTTACGCGGGCCGCGGGCGCGGCACGCTGCGTTGGAGACGACGGCGCTCGCGCGCGACCTTACGCGGGCAGCTTGCGCCTTACGCGCCAGTGTCGGCGCAGACGACCCCGTGTTCTTGCGCCGCTCACCTGCTGGACCTCCTCCTCCGCGGGCCTCTCCTCGAGGGCTTCCTCCTCCTCCTCCTCGTCCGCGACCGCTGGCTGCTGGTGGGCCTCCTTCTCCGCGGGCTTCGCGGCCCCATCGGCCTCCTCCTCCGCGACCGCCGGCTTCTGGATCTCCTTCTCCGCGGGCTTCTCCTCGATGGCCTCTTCGGCGGTTTCCAAACATCCGGATGCGACGTTGTTGCGTGCGCGGCCCCCGGGATGTCCCGACCCCTCCCCGGGCGTGAGCCTTCGGTCCTGCGGGCATTTCTGATGGCCCCATGGGCCCGATGACGGGCCCCAGAGGCCGAAATCCAGGAAAAGCGCCCGGCTGATGAACAGCACAAAGCCCGAGATCTGAGCCTTCCTGTCAGAACTCGGGCTTCCGACGGCCGTCCTGAGCGATCCTGACGCCTCTGGAGCGCTCTCGGCGATGCGCAGCTGCTGCGAGGCGGTCCCGGAGCGAGAAATCTCCAAGACCCAACGAACACCTCCGCAAACATGCGATCGACGATCGTCAGACCCTGAGATCCGACGTTGCAAAAAGAACGCAGCATCGCGAAACATCGCGACAGGAGCCTCAGACCCCGTCTTTCTCCGCAGTTCGCCATTCGCTCAGACCTCAACGAAATCACCGCTGACTCACAAGCTGGCAGCGCGGGAACTACCAGCAACACCGCTACTGAGCACTAGTCTGACAGTGTGGGGCCTGGCAGAGCGCACGACCTGCAATTCATCAGCTAGAACCCGAAACCGTCAAAGTCGAAACTGTCGAGCGGGCCACTGTCGTCATCGGAACACTCCGCGGAGTGCCGAGGGACAAACGCACCAGCATCCGCAGCTCTCGAAATCGATCGGCTCAGTCCTGCAGCCGATTGAGCAACAGATGAGGTACTGCAACTGAAAAAGGCGGCGCCTGGATCGTGAGGAAGTTGACGAGGAGCCCGAGCACAAGAGACAGCCGTGGCAGCTCTGCCATCCCTCTGCTCAGACTGCACCTTCCCGCCAACCGCGACTGCGCCGAACAACGAAACCTGCTCCTTCCTGGACAGCCACGTCCCTCCGCCGTCCGCGGCCCCACCCTCAGTGCCTTCCACCACGGGGGGGTAGGGCCCCACGGCAGGATGCAGAGCAGCAGCGGCACCCTGCACGTCCAGGGAGCCCTCCAGCTCACCGCCGATGCGGAAGCACCCCGCGACGTCGACAACGTCGGCGTTGAGCGCCTGCTCCGAGCCCTGGCCCGCGTCGTACGTCTTCCTCTCCTCGTCCGTGACCGCGAGCTGAGGAGCCAGGCGCAAGCCCGCCAGGAACCCATCGCTGAAGGCGCCCGCGAAGACCTCCGCGGGTAGCTGCCGCACCCCAGGCGCCAAAGCCACGGGGAGCTCCGCACACTCCTCGGCACCTTCCGCGCGAGGAGGCCCGAGCTCCTGGAGAAGGATGTCGACGTCCACGGAGCCTTCCTGGTCGCCAACTCCAGCCGCACCAGGCACCAGCGCCGCAGAGGCCCCCAGGCGCGGCCCAGCCGCTGCCACCGCGATCTCGTGGTCAGACGCCTCCACAAAACCATGCGGAGGGGCCTCGGCCGCGCGAACCGCTGGCCCGCGGCCGCACGCTGCAAAGCCGGGCGGGCGGCTCTCTCCCGGTCCTGCCACGAACCAGGGAGGACAGGCCCCGCCCCCGCGCTGCAGAGCGCCTCCGGCGCCGCTGGACGCCTGCGGCAGGCCGCCCGGCGCGCTGCCGAGGGCCCGAGGGTGAGCACCTTGAGCTGCCGCAACTCCTCGGGCCGCCACGCCGTGGGCAGCCCCCGCAGCCACCGCCGCCTGCCCGCCCTGCCATCTCCGGAAACGGCTCTGGCGAAAGCGGGAAGGAAACAGCTTGAGCCAAAACGGCTACGGAGCCCGCAACTCGCCAAGCTGGATCCATCTGTGATGGTCCCAGGGGCCCGAAAACGGGTGAAAACGCGGTGAACAGATTGCAGCGCCCTGATCTCAGTGGCTGCGCTCAGGAGGCAGGAGGAGGAGGAGGAGGAGGAGGAGGAGGAGGAGGACGAGGAGGAGGGGGAGGAGGAGCAGGAGGAGGTGGAGGAGGACGAGGAGAGGGACGAGGAGGAGGAAAAGAGGAAGGAGGAGGAGGAGAAGGAGGAGGAGGAGGAGGAGGAGAGGGGAGGAGGAGGAGGAGGAGGAGGAGGGAGGAGGGAGGGAGGGAGGGAGAGGCAAGAATAACCCTTGATGTGCAGCCTCAGCAGGGGTCCGCGGGGGAGGCCGAAACCACGCAGCCCGAGCGCGCCAGCCAGGTGCTGGCGGGACACCGTGGGCCCGCACTGCCGGTCACTGGCGAAGGGCCACTCCTACACTTCGTTCGGGCATGTCCCCCTACAGTCGGGCTGCTGAAAGAAGGAACGCTAAATAAGGAACGAAGCCCCTTCTCGGCCCTGTAAGCGCCTCCGTGCCCCAGGAGGGCAAGAGGAACAGCACTGGAGGAACCTAAGGAAGATCGAGCCCCTTCCGAACCCAAACTGTTCCTTATTTCAGCGTCTTGACTGTACGGTGAGTTCGTGTGGCGTCGGCGCGCGCAAAGGTTTTTGACACCGCGTCGATCGTTCAACCTTGAATCGAACGCGGCCCCGATCGTTCAAGGTTGAATTCCGTCGGGCCCACTGGCGTTACTGAGTCCATCAATGCTTCCGCGTCGCAGAACTCAACCTTTAACGCCTTCGCTGGCGTCGCCAGCGCGTCAACGCCGCACGAACCTACCGTACAGGCAGATTTTGTACGAAACAAAACATCAACGATACACAAACATAGTCAACCTAATCCTCCCCAGACTATTCTGCTGACTGTGTTCGAATATGCCCCCGGTGGGACGGACAGGCCCGACTCAATCCTGCACGTAGCTCTGATCTCGGGATCCTCCTGCCCGGATCTCGGGGCCCCCCTGCCCAGACCTCCGGGCCCGCCGCCCCTCCTCCTCTCGACTACACGCAAGAGTGACCTTGGGTAAGAGCGACCTTTGGTGCGCGGCTTTTGGGGGGCCGCGGGGGGGGACCAAACACGAGCGCGCGAGACGCTGCTATCGCACCGCGTTCGGCGATCGGGGGGCCCCCAACGGGCCCGCACCAAAGGTCACTCCGGCGAAGGGTCCCTCTTACGTCTTACGTTTAGTCGATCCTCGGCCCGCTGGCGATCCAGAGACCGGCCATCCGAGGGCGGCCTCAGCCCAGCTGGCTCGCGGGTCGTGTCCAGCTCCGCTCTCCGACGGCCGTCGCGGACGCCCTGGGCACCCCCAGAACGCTCCCTCGGCGAGGCGCAGCTGCTTCAGCGCGTCCCGCGGCGGGAGCCTCGATCAGCTCGAAAGCTCCACGACGAGCGCGTCCGAAAACCTCGAACCTCGAAGAGCACGACCGAGACCCTCGAACCCCGACCGTGACGAGGAGCAAGGAACGAGGAGCGAGGAGCGAGCAGGAGGAGGAGGAGGAGGAGGAGGAGGAGGAGGAGGAGGAGGAGGAGGGAGGAGGAGGAGAGGAGCAGACGAGGAGAAGAGGAGGAGGAGGAGTGAGGAGGAGGAGGCAGGAGGGAGGGGGGAGGAGGAGGAGAGGAGAGGAGGAGGAGGAGGAGGAGGAGGAGGCGAGGAAGGAGGGGAAGAGGACGCGGAGGAGGAGACGAGGGAGGAGGAGGAGGAGAAGAGGAGAAGAGAAGAGGGGAGGAGAGGAGGAGGAGGAGAGGGGGAGGAGGGAAGTGGAGGAGGAGGAGGAGGAGGAGGAGAGAGGAGGAGGAGGAGGAGGAGGAGGAGGAGGTGGAGGAGGAGGAGGGGGAGGAGGAGGAGGAGGAGGAGAGGGAGGAGGAGGAGAGGAGGAGGAGGGGGAGGTGGAGGAGGAGGAGGAGGGAGGAGGAGGAGGAGGAGGAGGAGGAGGAGGAGGAGGAGGAGGAGGAGGAGGAGGAGGGGGGAGGGGAGGAGGAGGAGGAGGAGGGATGAAGGAGGAGGAGGAGGAGGGAGAAGAGGAGGAGGAGAGGGGAGGAGGCGGAGGAGGAGGAGGAGGAGGAGGAGGAGGATGAGGAGGAGGAGGAGGTGGAGGAGGAGGAGGAGGGGAGGAGGAGGAGGAGGAGGAGGAGGAGAGGAGGAGGAGAGAGGAGGAGGAGGAGGAGGAGGCGAGGGCCCAGCAAGCCCCACGAGCAGGAGGAGCAGGAGGAGGAGGAAGAGGAGGAGGGAGGAGGAGGAGAAGAAGGAGGAGCAGAAGAGGAGGATGAGGAGGAGGGGAGGAGAAGGAGGAGGAGGAGGATGAGGAGAGAGCAGGAGGAGCAGGAGGAGGAGAGGAGGAGGAGGAGGAGGAGGAGGAGGAGGAGGAGGAGGAGGAGAAGGAGGAGGAGGAGGAGGAGGGGGAGAAGCGAGGAGAGAAGGAGGAGGAGGAGCAGGAGGAGCGAGGAGGAGCGAGTACGTCCGAAATCGTCTACGGGCCCCGCCTTCTGCCCCGCGGGCGCCGGCTGCTCGCTGGCCCCCTCGGCGGCGCCCTGCGGCTCGATGGCCCCCTCCGCGACGCCCCGCGGCTCGGTGGCCTTGCCCGCGGCGCCGCCCGGCTTGGCGGCCTCCGCCATTGCGGCCTGGACGACGACGACTGCGACTGCGACGACGACGACGACGACGACGACGACGACGACGACGACGACGACGACGACGACGACCGGGAAGAGGACGCCGCCGCCGCCACCGCCGAGGGCCGCCGAGGACGCCGCCGCCGCAGGCGACGACGACGCCGACGGCGACGAGGACGACGCCGACGACGACGGCCTGGAGCTGGGCCCTGAGCTCCGCGATTTGCCCCTCGAGGGCGCCCTCGTTGCTGGGCTCCTCGGCGGCGGGCGCTGCGGCGGCTGGCGCGTCGGTGGACCCCTTCGCGCCAGACGCAGGCCCGGGCTCGGCGGTCGCCTCCGGCGCGGCGGCCGCGGGCAACGCCGCCGCCCCGGGCGCGCCCGTGGTGGGCGACGCCGGCGCGGCCGCGGCGCCCTCCGAGGGCAGGCGGGCACGCAGACGGGTTGCGTCTTGACTTCACCGAGGCCCGCGAGCCCCGGACCCCTCGACCACTTCCCCGGGGCCTGTTGCACAGATCCTGAGCGAAGTTTTGGCGGCACGGAGGCCTGGCAAGGGCCCCGAGAGGCCGAACACGATGAGGAACCTCCGTCCTGATCTTGGTATGCCTGGGCTCTTATCCTCGGTGGCGACGGCCTCCTCCTCCTCCGCCTCCTCATCCTCCTCCTCCTCCTCCTCCTCCTCCTCCTCCTCCTCCTCCTCCCTCCTCCATTCCTTATCGATAACTCCTCCCTGTCACACCCTGAGGCTAGTCGACAGGGTTGGCTGAGCGTTTCGCCTGAAGATTCCTCACCACTTATGACCCTGAAGTTTAAACATGGCAACAGTTTCACACATGGAGGGCAGGTCGTTTCCAAAATGTGGTTTTCGCCTTAGCGCCTCGCACATTCGTTTTAAACTGTTTCAGGAGATTGACGGATGGAGGCCGGCTCGTTTTCAAAATGTGGCTCTCGCCTCAGCGCCGCGTGCTCGTTTTCAAAATGTGGCTCTCGCCTTAGCGCCGCGCACATTCTATTTAAACCGTTTTTCAGGAGATTCACGGACTGAAGGCGGAGCGTTTTCAAAATGTAGCTCTCGCCTTAGCGCCGCGCACATTCGTCTTCAACATTTGCAAGAGTTTCACGGGTTGAGAGCGGGTGGTCTTCAAAATGTGACTCTCGCCTCAGCGCCGCGCACACTCGTTTTAAACATGTGCAAGACCTTCACGGATTGAGGGCGGGTGGATTTCGATATGTGGCTCTCGTCTTCGCGCCGCGCACATTCGACCTTCCTTCTTAAATGCAAGGGCTTCACGGATTGAAAACGGGTGGTTTTCAATGTGTGGCTCTCGCCTAAGCGCCGCACGCACTCGTTGCAAAACAATGCACACATTTGATTCGTTCTCGCGGTTAATGTAGCAGAAACAACGCTTTGGAACGAGTCCGGATGGTCGGGGAGCAACAGTGACGTTGATTCACAGTGCTGAAGTCCCAGGAATGGTGTTCTAGCACGATTCAGGATGACCAAGATGTAATAGTCAGGTCAACTCGTGGCGACGAAGTCATGAAAAAGGTGATTTGGCACGTTACACGATTTTCGCACAGTTGTCCCCCAACGGGGCAATTCCCGCAGTGGAAATGACTCTTTGCAGAGGCCTGCGAAGAGGGAGCTTGCAGGGATGGTGTATTCCAACGTTGTTGATGAGCCTTGAGTTTGCACTGGTCCTTTTCCTCCTCCTCCTCCTCCTGCTCCTCCTCCTCCTCCTCCTCCTCCTCCTCCTCTTCCTCCTCCTCCTCCTCTTCCGCGGCCGCCGAAGCAATGAAAAACAACCGTCTTGAGATTTTTGAAGCGCCAGAAACCTGGGCGGAGGGCTCCTCGACCCTCGCGTGCTGGCCGCCCTCCTTCGTCGGCGTGGCCCCGCGCCGGCTGGGCGCCGGGCGCCGGACCGCCACCGCGAGGGCCAGGGAGCCTTTCTTCTCCAGCGTGCTGCCGAGCGAGGCCTTGAACTCCTTGACGACCTTTCGGCGATCAGCCCATGGAGCGGCGAAAAATGACGGGTCTTTCGCTGGCCATCGCTCGGACGTCCATTTCCTGTGTTTCTTTTTTTGGTTTCGTGCGTGGTTTCTTCGCCAAATGATCAAGGATGCTCCTCGATGGTCCTCGCCGAAGGAAAAACGCGCACGTCCAAGCGATGCCAAGTTCGCGCGACGACACAGCGACCTTACGCGGTGTTCCGCGCGGGTCGCCAGCGCGGCACGCCGCATTGGAGACGAGGCCGAGCACGCGCGCCTTTGCGCGGGCAGCGGACGCGCCACCGTCGGTGAAGACGAACATGCTTTCCCTTCCTCGATCAATTTGGAACCAGGACACACAAATAAATAGACACAAATAACAAGATTCCCCATATTTTCGCATATTTTCTGGTTTTTGTCTTCCCCCCCCCCTTCCCATATTTTCCAATATTTTCCTGGAAATCGACGATTCATTGTGTCTGTGTGATTTTTCTCCTCCTGAAATTTGGGGGGGGGCCCTAACCCTTTCGGAGCGGACCCGGCTTCACAAACCCAAAAGACTACGGCTACGGGGCCTGCGCAGCACATCTATCAAACAAAAACCACCCACATGGTTTTCCCGCTCACAGAGACGGGAACCTCATTCGGGCTACGTCTTCATTGCGCTGTTGCACAAGCCTTGCGGCCGGTGCCGCCGACCCTGACGGCGGGAGTTCATCCGGGACTCCCGCTGGCGACCTCCCTCCGGGAGCCCCCCAGGACTGAAATTAAGGCCAGTCCCAACCAGATTGGGCCGTTCAAAGCTCACGTGTGACTGATCGCGACGATTGGAAAAAGACTGATCCTGACGTGTCGGATTTTTCAATAATCCTACAAAGCAAATGCAGGATTACAGAGAGGGACACGGACTTCCGCTTCCCAACGCTTGAAGGAACCCTGGGGAGTCCGAACCGATTCTTAGGAGTCCTAGAAGGATTCCAGAGGATCCTTAAGGATCCACTGGGATTCCTGAATCTTCATAGAACGGACTACCAAACGATTCGTGAAAACTCCTCAACGATTTCTGAAGGCGCTGTGTAGGCGTTGTGTAAGCCATGTGCACGCGTTTTGAAAACGTTCCGGCGAAATCGCACCTCTCCGTCCAGAGCGACGCCCATCATATCCTGCTGTGATACGCATATATATATATATACATATATATATACAGGATGGACACACACTTGTACACATTCTGCATAACTATACAAAGACATGTACATACTTACGCGTGACCCACCACATATTTAGATACACATATGCACGTATGCACTTATATGCACAGTGTGAACACATACAAATATACGCACACGCATATATGTATGTATGTGTGTGCGTATACACAAACATACATACATTTATACATAGCTATATCCATTCAGAAGGGTCTGCTTTGGATGCCCATAAAGCTGCAAGGCTAATATTTTTGACCTGCAGAACTGGGCCGCCGTTCGGCTGCGCAACATGTATTCTCCTTTCTAAAAGGAGAATAGACTCTACCCCCCCCCCCCCCGGACTTATCCGCTCCCCTTTCGGGTGTGTAAATCATATATGATTCTGACCACTCGTCCATCCTAAATATGGAATCATATCATCCCAGCCAAACCGGTTTCCCCCCCCTGAGGTTCCCTTGAAAAAGCACTATGCGGTGACATTTTTTGTTCTAACATTACACTTGTTCACGAATCCCTTGCAAAAAACTTGACGAAGTGCACGCGCGCGCGTCGTCGCGCGCGCATGCCGGAATCCTTCAAAAACCTTCGGTGCCGGAAAGATTTCGCAAACGAGTTTCCAAAACACATACAAAAACAAATGGTTTCGCAAAACTGATTTGTTAAAAAAGCTTCCGCGCGAGCTCTTGCGAAATCTCAAGAGAACCATTGGCTTTTCAAGATTTTCACAAAATGCTACCAAACGGGCTTCGCGCGCGCGCATGTCGAAATCTGTCGAACGCCCTTGCGCGTGTGCCGTCGCGAGTATCCTTTGCAACAAATGGGACGAAGTGCAGACGCGCGCGTCGTCGCGGGCGTATGCCGAAAACCTTCAAAACCCATCGGTCTCGGAAGGATTTCAAAATCGTGCGTCCAAAAACCTACAACAACCTAAGGTTTCGCAACACGGATTTTCAACAAAACCGTGCGCGCGCGCTCTTGCGTCGTCGTCGTCGTCGTCGTCGTCGCCGTCCTCCCTCCTCCCGCGCCGTCGTCGTCGTCGCCTACGTCGTCCTCTGTCTTTTCTCGTGTTCGTCGTCGTCGTCCTCTTTGGCGTCGTGGTTGTTTCCGTCGTCGTTGTCGCCGTGGTCGTCCGTCCTCCTCCTCCCTCGTCGTCGTCGTCCGTCGTCGGCGTCTCGTCGTCGGTTCTATTTCGTCACCGTCGTCGTCGTCGTTGTCGTCGTCGTCTTCCCTCCTCCCTCGTCGTTGTCGTCGTCGGCGTCGCCGTCCTTCCTCCTTCGTCGTCGTTCGCGTCGTCGCCGTCCTCCCTCCTCCCTCGTCGTTGTCGTCGTTGTCGTCGTTGTCGTCGTTGTCGCCGTCGTCGTCCTTCCTCCTCCCTCGTCGTCGCCTTCGTCGGCGTCGTCGTCGTCGTCTTCGTCGTCGTCGGCTTCGTTGTCGTCGTCGAAGTCGTCGGAGACGTGGTCGGCGTCGTCGTCGTCGTTGTCGTCGGTGTCGTCGTAGTCGGTCTTAAGAGGTTTTGCAAACCAAGTTGCGGGTGGGAGGGTGGGATGTTTGCGCGAGCAGTGGAGAGGACAGCTTCAAGTTGAGCAAGTGATTGCTAAACACAGAATAGACTCTACCACTCCCCCGTCGTTATCACGATACTTTTCGGGTATGTAAATCATGTATGATTCTGGCCACATGTCCATCCTAAATATGGAATCGCAATGTCCCAGGCCAACCGGTATCCCCCCCTGAGGTTCCCTTGTAAAAAAAACACTATGAGGTGACATCGTTTGCTCTAACATTACACTTGTTCACGAATCCCTTGCAAAAAATTAGACGAAGTGCAAACGCGCGCGTCGTCGCGCGCGCATGCCGAAATCCTTCAAAATCCTTCGGTGCTGGAAGGATTTCGCAATCGAATTTCCAAACAACATACAAAATCACAAGGTTTCGCAACACTGATTTGCTAAAAAAGCTTCCGCGCGAGTTCTTGCGAAATCTCAAGAAAACCATTGGTTTTTCGAGATATTCACAACATGCTACCAAACGGGCGTCGCGCGCGCGCATGTCGAAATCTGTCGAACGCCCTTGCGCGTGTACCGTCGCGAGAATCCTCTGCAAAAAAAGGACGAAGTGCAGATGCGCGCGTCGTCGCGCGCGTACGCCGAAATCCTTCAAAACCCATCGGTTTCGGAAAGATTTCAAAATCGCGCGTCCTAAAAACCTACAAAAACACAAGGTTTCGCAACACGGATTTTCAACAAAAGCGTGCGCGCGCGCTCTTGCGGCGACGTCGTCGTCGTCGTCGTCGCCGTCCTCTTCCTCCCGCGTCGTCGTCGTCGTCGTCGCCTACGTCGTCCTCTGTCTTTCCTCGTGTTCGTCGTCGTCGTCCTCTTTGGCGTCGTGGTCGTTTCCGTCGTCGTTGTCGCTGTGGTCGTCCTTCCTCCTCCTCCCTCGTCGTCGTCGTCGTCCGTCGTCGGCGTCTCGTCGTCGTCCTTCCTATTTCGTCGCCGTCGTCGTCGTCGTTGTGGTCGTCGTCTCGTCGTCGTCTTCCTTCCTCCCTCGTCGTTGTCGTCGTCGGCGTCGCCGTCCTTCCTCCTTCGTCGTTCGCGTCGTCGCCGTCCTCCCTCCTCCCTCGTTGTCGTCGTTGTCGTCGTTGTCGCCGTCGTCGTCCTCCCTCCTCCCTTGTCGTCGTCTCCGTTGGCGACGTCGTCGTCGTCGTCGGCGTCGGCGTCGTTGTCTTCGTCGTCGTCAACGTCGGCGTCGTCGTCGTCGCCGCCGTCGTCGTCGTCGTCGTCGTCGTCGTCGGCCGTCTTGCTTCTCCGGCCTTCTTGGGGCGCTCTTGAGACGCCCCCGAGGGCTCCAAGACGACCCCGGAGCGATATCTGTGCTCGGTCCCTCATGGATTTTGCAAACCAAGTTGCGGGTGGGTGGGTGGGATGATTGCGCGAGCAGTGGAGTTGACAACTTCAAGTTCGACAACTTCAAGTTGCCGTCGTCGGCGTCGCCGTCCTTCCTCCTTCTTCGTCGTTCGCGTCGTCGCCGTCCTTCCTCCTCCCTCGTTGTCGTCGTTGTCGCCGTCGTCGTCCTCCCTCCTCCCTCGCCGTCGTTTTCGTTGGCGACGTCGTCGTCGTCGTCGTTGTCTTCGTCGTCGTCGTCGTCGGCGTCGTCGTCGTCGTCGTCATCGTCGTCGTCGTCGTCGTCGGCGTCGTCGTCGGTGTAGTCGTCGTCGTCGTCGTCGTCGTCGTCGTCGTCGTCGTCGTCGTCGTCGTCGTCGTCGTCGTTGTCGTCGAAGTCGTTGGAGACGTCGTCGGTGTCGTCGTAGTCGGTGTCGGCGGCGCCGTCGTCGTCGTTGTCGCTGTCGTCGTCGGCGTCAGTGTCGTGGCCAAGTGCCATGTGGTACCTACCGTCACGGCCTTGTCTTCAGAGGTCTTGCGACCAAGTTGCGGGTGGGAGGGTGGGATGTTTGCACGAGCAGTGGAGAGGAAAACTTCAAGACGGTCAAAGTGGATTGCACCGAATAGATTCCACAACACAGACAGCCACATAGATTGGACAACGCACGTTGCACCACTCAGGTTGCACGTCGCAGATTGCACAACGCGGACTGCACCAACACAGTGCGCAGCACCGATCGCACCGCGCAGGTCCGACAACTCATATCACACCGCGTAAATCGCAAGATATCGATTGCACCACTTGGATTGCTCCAAACCGAATGGGCCGCGCGAAAGTGCGCGCCGCGTAGATTGCACGACGTGGATTGCGCTATATAGCACAATCCACACTGCGTCGCAAATCTTGCACAAAATG